TTCTCAAAAGTTCCCTGCAGAACTCTGGGCTTTATTGGAGTCATCTTACCTGAGCAGATGAGACACTTATTAAACACCTACTGTGTGTCGGAGCCTCAGTCACGTGAGGGAGATTTAGAATCTGCACATTTTCAAGAAAAGTCCAGATCTGGAGTAGTGAGTAGTGAAAGTTGCTTTTAAACATGGTCTGTCAGATGCAAAGGCTATGCATGCCCATCCATGCATCCACGCACCCATCCATCTGTCATTTATCCATTCACAGTTCATCCACACATCTGTCCACCTATCCACCCATCCACCCACCCATCTATCCATCCATCCATCCATCCATCCACACACATCCACACATCATTTCTGTATCCATGCATCCATTCATGTGTGCATCCATCTATCTGTCCATCTACGCATCCCTGCATCTATGCACACACCCATCTCTATATCCATTTATGATGCATGCATCCATCCATCCATGTATTCATGCATGCATCCATCCGTGTATATTCATGTATCCATCATCCATCATTCTATACTTTGTTTCTCATTTATCTCAGATACAAGACCAGGACCAGTATTGGGGGCTTTGATCAGGGAGGATCTGGGGGCAATGGGCGGAGGCTTTGATACAGCCTAGGGAGGCTTGGCAGAATATCACCTCTGAGGCCTTGAGCCAAGAAACAGGTGGTCCATGCCAGGGACGGAGTGGTGTGAGAATCTGCACACATGGAGGCTCCGTGCACATTCCTGATTGGGGTGGGGGAGCCCCAAGTGGCTGAGCTGGGCCTGAGGAGGGAAACTGGGCTGGTGCCCTTCTGGCGTGTCCAGATTTGCTGGCTTTCCTGGAGGGCAGCTGCTACTCCTAGGAGGTTGTGTGTTCCAGAGGGAGTGGGCAGACTGAGTTTTAAGCACCCCTGGAGGCTGGTGTGTTGTGGCTGTGGTGACAGAGTCCAGAACCAGCAGAAGGCTAGACAAAGCTAGGGGGCGGGGACTGAAATGGGACTTCTTCTCTGGGTGTCAACTTCTCATACAGTGGGCGTCTCAGCACAGCCTGCCCCTCCGTGTCTTGGTCAACACCATGGCTCCAGAGAAAGGCTGTCTTAGAAGAGGACAAGACTTAAGCTAGTCTCCCAGATGGAGGGAATGTGTCCACCAGCGCTGGACCAGGCAGGCCCAGAACCTTCAAACTCGACTTTCTTACTGAGGCTTCATGGACGGAGATTCCTCCTACCCTGTCTATAACTCCAAGTGGAGATGAGTAGGGATGCAGAAAGAGATTAAGTGATGTGCCCAACATCCCACAGGCCAGCATCACCTGAACTCATGCCCTGTGACCTCTTCACCCCAGAGGCCTGCTGGCAGACAGCCATGGGGACAGTAACAGGAGGGTCATCACTGATGCCCCTCTGCCTCAGGGCCTTTGAATTTGCTGTCCCCTCTACCTCGGCTCTCTTCGCCCAGGCCTGGGTGTGGCTAGGTCACTCCCTATCCTGTTAGGTGATGCGTATTTGGAAATGCGGTTCACGATCATCCAGTTTATGGAGTCCTCACTGCCTTCTATCTTGTTTCTAAGCTCTGTTTTCTTCCGGATGCTATTATGTATACGTTCTACCTCCCTTCCCAGCCCAATCTTTGGGGATAGGGACCTCTTTCTGTTTTCAGTGATTTTTTGTTTGTGCTTTTTTTTTGGGGGGGGGCACAGGGGACAGGGACAGAAAGCGGGATCTGAAATGTGTTTGTTGAACAAGGTGAATTCCTTCCTTCCTCTTTTCCTTCCTCCCTTCCTCTCCTTCCTCTCTTCCTCCTCCCTCCCTTTCTCCCTCTCCTCTTTCCTTCCTCTCTTCTTTCCTCCTTCCTTCCCCTCCCTCCCTTCCTCCCTCCCTCCCTCCCTCCTTCCTTCTTTCTTTCCTTCCTTCCTTTTACACTGCTTCTCTCTGTGGAGTAGTCCTGGCAGGACCCCCCTCCCCTAGGACCTGTGAACTGGTTCAAGGTCAACCCACTGGACAGGGACCCAGTACTCAAGTCAGTCAGTCACCCCACCATGCACACATGCTACTCCATTTTGGGGACCAGGTGTGAGCATTTCCCAGCTGAAAGCCGTTTTCCGGGGAAGCTACTCTCCCTCAGTGGACTGCGGAGCTGAATGCGGGTGTGCTGGCGGCGGCTGCTGCAACAGCCCCATAAACACGAAATGGAAGCTCAGAAGGAGGTCCCGGGTTCCTGGTTTCCTCGGTTTCTCTAGGCAGGACCTGTGGTGAGTCCTCTTTACGTGAAGTTCGGCACGGCACTGCAGGGCTGGCACCCGGGACTCCCTGCCTGCCTCCTCCCCCTGAATCTCTTGTTGCCAGTCAGCTTTCCCACTGAGGTGTCTCTGCTGGCACCTGCTTCCCTGGGGGGCAGTGTGTGTGTGAGGCCCTGGATGCCCCTCTGTCCAGGCTGGACCCAGTGTGTCTGGCACCCTGATGGGCTGCTGGCATGGGGCTGGCTAGGAAAGAGGACTGTGGCTCCTCAGGCTTGAACTGGGCTGTGCAGACACCATCCTCTGCCAGGTGTGTGCTGGGTGCTAGGAAAGGAGTCTAGCCAGACACTGTCCATCCGAGCATGCATCTGTCTGTCCGTCCATCCATGTTTTCAACATCTGTGAAGTTTTGTGATAGACCACCTGGGAGAGACTAAAGGAAGAAGAGTAATAGCTTGCATTTATTGAGCACTTGCTGTATACCCCCAGGGCTTGTGACAACCAGTGTACATGGGTGTCATCTTGTTTACTCTTCACAACTCGGAGGTGGGTGACCAGACTGCCCTTGGGAGTGCAGAGTACTTGTTCGTGGTCACAGCTGGTAGCGTTCAGGGATAAGTCGTGGGGACACTTGCTCTACCCTCAGCAATACCCGGGCTTCTCACAGGCCCCCAGCAGGAAGGTTCTTGTCCAAGGTCTTGTCTGCTCAGAGGTAAAGGGGGAGTGGTTGTCCCCACCTGGACAGGAGGACAGCGACTCAGACTGGGAGAGCAGGTTCGGGCCATGTGGTTTGGGCTGGTGTTTCATCTCTCACTGTGACTCAGGGTCAGATTCTACTTTACATTTCTCTCTCTCTCTCTCTCTCTCTCTCTCTCTCTCTCTTCATTTCTTTTCATTTTAACATCTTTAAAACTGGTTTATTTATTTATATTTTTATGTGCCTTGTTGTTTCTTACCTGCGTGTATATCTGTGTGAGGGTGTCAGATCCCCTGGAACTGGAGTTACAGACAGTTGTGAGCTGCCATGGGGATGCTGGGAATTGAACCCGGGTCTTTTGGAAGAGGAGACAGTGCTCTTAACCACCGAGCCACAAGGTGTTATATAGCCCAGGCTGGCCTCAAACTCAAATAATCTTGGACTCCTGACCACGTGTTCCCCTCTTCCTCTCAAGTGCTGGGCTTGCAGACACATCTCACCATCTCTGGTTCTCCTGTCTTTTTTTGAGGTGAGGTCTGAAACTCACAACAATCCTCCTGCCTCAGTCTCCTGAGACTACTGATGTACCCTACCTTGCCTGACAGAATTGTCCCTTTCTTTCCATGTTTTGAGAGGGAAAGAAATTATTGCTATTTTATTTTACCTTGTATGGGGATGATTGAGATTTTTTTTTAAGAATTAATAACCCATTTCTTCTTGCACGTAATTAAAATGTTCTCCAGTCTCTAATTTTTGTCATTTTACTAATCTAATTTGTTTTCTGAGTGTGTCGATTCCCCTTCTGAGCACAAAGCAAGGGGGATTTTTCTTCCTTTAATATGACTGGGATCCAAGTGTCCAGGAATCATTTCTCTTTGGTTAAATACAGTCCAAGCAGGGCCGTTGGAGGATCTTAAAAAGCACAATCCGAGAACAACAAGGCAAAAAAAAAAAATCTTCAAGTCACTGCCTGCTCACACAGTTATAAAATTATTGGAAGCAGCGATGAGGGAACCACGGTGTCAGTAACCAGGCCCAAGCCCCCCAGGACAGGGTGCTGCCGTACTGGCCCGGTCTGTGCCTCCAGGCTCCACACAGCGGGCTCAGATTCTGCTGCAGGGGAGGTTTTTGTTTTGTTTTTTTGTTTTGTTTTGTTTTTTTGTTTTTCGAGACAGGGTTTCTCTGTGTTGTTTTGGTTCCTGTCCTGGATCTCGCTCCATAGACCAGGCTGTGCAGGGGAGATAAATTAGTCCAGTTAAATTTACCTGTAAACTGCACCTTTCCACTGAAAGAGAAAGGAAAGAAAGAAAAACTACAGAATTTTCACTGTGTGATTAAGTGGGTTCTTGGATCCTGGGACCCTGAGGGGGACAGGGAGATGCACAGGAAGGGAGATCCTCTCCAGGTTTCTCCTGGGGCCACCACCCTGCCTCAGCAGAGGAGCTTCATGGCCACTTCTTGGAAAACCCCTTCTCCGGGTGCCTCCGAGAGATGTCTCGAGGCTAAACTGACGTTGAAGGAGGAATTTTCATCCCGTGCTGTCCCCACCTGCTCAGGCTTGCTGGGGTGTGGGTGTGGTCCTGCGGATGTGTTTGGGGGGTCTGTGGGGAGGAGGTGGAGTTGGGCAGGCATCCTTCCTGTTCCCCAAATCTGAAAAATAGAAATTTAACTTCCCTGTTGACAAAATACCAGCCATTGTCTCGTCTCCAGCTCAACTACTCTGTAGGCTCCGAGAATCTTGTTGGAGGGGGAAAAGAAATGTCTGAAGTATTTAAACATGTTGGACCATGCATGCATCCGTCCATGGCATCGCGAGTTTTTTCTTTTTTCCTCATGGTCTCCTCCCTCCCTTCGCTCTCCTTTTTTTTTTTTTTTAACCAAAGTATATTCATCAAACTGCTGAGTTGGAAAGATTTGTAATGAGTTTTTGAGCTGTGTGCGACTGTGTTTTTTCCCCCCTCTTCCCCCCACCCTTTCCCTCTTTCTAAATCTTCATCTGACATTAAATAAAACAAATCCCAAACAGATTAACTGTCGCATGGTTCTGCTCCGTCTCTTCAGTCTGTTTGCAGGTCTGGCGGGGGATCCGGCAGCAGCGGCAGCGGCGACGGCGAGGACGGAGGCGGCAGTGGTGGCGGCAGCGGCAGCGGCGGTAGTGGGAGATGCCCGGGTGGCCCACGGAGGTCCATGTGGCGCTCTAGGTGGGATGCTGGCATCCTGAAGGCCGAGGCCCTGGCCCTGCTCCCCTGTGGCCTGGGCATGGCGTTCTCTCAGTCACACGTGATGGCGGCGAGGCGGCACCAACATGGCAGGCTCATCATTGAGGTGGATGAGTACAGCTCCAACCCCACCCAGGCCTTCACCTTCTACAACATCAACCAGGGCCGCTTTCAGCCACCGCACGTGCAGATGTAAGTGCTGATGCCCGGGGGCCTGGAGGGGACAGGGAGGTGGGTGCCTCCTGGCTTCCGGTGCATCCCTCAGCGCGCACTCGAGGGGCTCGTGGACCCAAACCCGCGCTGTGCTCTTGCACTTGGGTTGAAGTTGGGAGGGACCTGAGGGAAGCCCCAGACTGATGGCCCCAGGGACCCACAGTGTGGCCCCTCGTCATGTTTGATTGGACTTGGCGAAGGCTTCAGAAGTGTTTGAAAATAAGACGGTTTTACAGAGAGATCCAAGATTTGACGATGGAACCACAAATTTTGCCACCCCAGGCTCGCTTGTTCTCGGGGGAATATCTAGGGCTGAATTTCAGCTGTGTCCAAGGATGTGGCTCCCAATTCCTAGTCTGACTTACTCCCTCGGGGAGACTGAGTCACAAATAGGGAGAAGGTCCTGCTGTAGGCCCAATAGGTTAGGACCCCATCCCGGTCCAGTCGGCTCCTCTCCCTTTGTTTGACCCCCATGCTTCTGAAGTGTTCTACGGAGGAGGTCTGGGGCTTCAGTTACCACCTCATCTCAGTTTCACACTCTGTGCTGGGTCAGGGTCACCTTGATCTCGCACAGAGGGGGAGGGACTGATGGCTCCCTGCTGACAGAACAAGGAAGTAGCAGCTCTGGCCAGCGTGACCCTGTGCTGTGGGGTTGCTAGAAGCCCCTCTCAAGAATGTTAGATTACCCCTGGGGGTGCAGACACTGAGCTTCCTCTAGGGGCTGGAGCCCTGCTTCTGAGTAGTGAGTAGGTTCAAGAGGTCCCGGCAGCTGTTACTCGGGGACAAAGTACAATGGATGAATTGCTCAAATCCCAGCGTGACCGGGTAGTGGAGTGGTGTGTAGCCACTCCGTCCACTCCGTCCGGTGTGGTTTCCTTCAACCCCACATTCTGTTCAACGATGCGCTGAGGAGATAATTCATTGGGAGCAGGGCATCGAAGGTGGCCGTCGTATGGTCTGGAGGGGCAATTCCAACGTGGGAATGCCTATTTTCCCAGCAGCACTTGCTCGAACAATGCTCCTTCCTGTGGAGGCTTCAGTTCACATGGTCAGAAGGTGTAGTTTTTGGTGGATTTCTAGCCCAGTACTGCCTCTTTTTTAAAGAATTTATTTTTATTTACTTTTTTATTTGGGAACCAGACTAGAGGATTTAGGCAGGCCGAATGCACTGTTGAGGGCACACCTCTTCTTGGTCTTTGAGACCCAGCAGCCTGGCAGAGATGCTGCAGGCAGAGGCCTGTCTTTCTCTGCCTAGATTATCTTTTTTTTTTGTTGGTGGGATTGGAGATGATGATACTGAGGTCCCTGATGCTGGGGTTGATCTTGTCCAGTGGGAATGTGGGAGAGCCCCAGACCCTCAAACAGAGCAGTGGGGGCTGATGTGCATCTGTGTTCTCCGCACATCCGTCTGTGAGTGTCCTGGACTCAGAGATGCTGCCCTTTGGGGCTACTGTGGAATGTGACTGGATTGGGTAGGCCCAGGGAGACCCTAGCTGGAGAAAAAAGCCATGCAGACAGGACGATGGGAGAGGAAAGCTGAGGAAGGTCCATCAATTTGGGGGTGTTTGGGAATGACCAGGATAAGATAGATTCTAGTTGAGACCTGAAGGAGTGTGGGGTGGGGGGCGATTGGAAGGGGTATTAGGATTCCCTGGGCTAAGCAGAAGGAGTAGAAGGATAGAGCCCACAGAGGGCTAATATGGGAGAGGGGCCTGCTGGGTAGAGGGGCCAGACCATGTCCTGGGGAAGGGCAGTGGGTGAATGAGAGAGAGGGTGGCTGTTCCCATTTAACCAGGGAACAGCGGAGGCCAGCCCTTCTCTTCCCTCTCCCTTCCTTTGTTCCTTCATTCGGATTCTTTGGGAACAGTTAGGCAGCTTGTGGGTGAGAAACACGGGTCCCGGGCTGGCCTAACTGGGTGATGCTCACGCCGCTTGATGCCTCAGTTTCCCCAACCACAAAGTGATATTTACAGTGATGCGGAGGGTGCAATGGAGAAGTCTCCGAGGCGGTGGGGCCACGTGAGTGGCTGATGTTCATCACTGTAGCAAGAGCCAGGCCCGGGCGTGGAACTTAGTGCTTGAAGTGATGAGAGGCAGCTGCCTGCTCGCACTGGGCTTGTGTTCCAGGCATCTGCGGCTAGGCAGCAGCAGGTTGTAAGGGCATGTCAGCGTGTGACGCTTGTAGCAGCAAAAGTGTTTTCGGGTTGCTTGTCTGGCTGATGTCCCCCATGGTCTGGACCTCTCCCCTTTGGCCTGCTCTATGGAATGCCTCTCCAGTCAGCTAGGGTCCTGGTTTCCATAAACAATGGGGCTGAGTGGCCACTGGGGTGTGGGTAGGGCTTAGGAAGGAGCACAAACAGAACTTTGAAATTCAACATTGCATTTAGCAGGACAATGTCTGGGTAGGCACAGGACTCTGGGGCCGCTGCCTCCTGTCCCTTCCATTCAGACTCCAGATCTGAACTGGAGGAGGCCTGCAGGCTGTAGGGGATTTCCTTCACAAGTGGCCACTCTGCCTTGGAGAGAGGTTGCTCCTGCTTAGTGATTTATCACCTCCGCGGACTTTGTCTCTGGGGTGAAGGAGTGAGGAGCGGGGGGTCCTATTTAATAAATCCACAATTTATATTTAATAATAACAGTGACAGCTCAACATGGCCTCTGATTGAGCTTTGTGATTTACTCAGAGGCCCCTGAGACCCTGCTGGGAACTTGTCAGCCTTTGTCAGAGTGATGATTGTCCACAGCTGGGGCCTCTAGCCGTGGGCCCTGGGGCTGAGAAATCCCAGGAGGTTTTCGGGAGAATCCTCCAGGCATCATGTCCCTGGGCATGCAGGTATAACAGTGGGCAGTGAGAGGGAGGGCCAGGGTTACTGGAGTCTGCCATGAAGGTATCTGGGGTGGACACACTTGGTGTTAACTCTTCCCTCTGGCCTTTGGGGGTCACTGGAGACATGGGCCAGACCCTTTAAAGACCCTGTGGGTCCCTCGGGTGGTACTGGGTGCTGGAGAATGTAGGGATAGGAATGGCAGAGCTAGGCTGAGAGGTTCCGTCCTTGGCACTTGACTGGGTTGACACCTGATCCCTCCTTTCAGAGGGAGAAGCTAAGACTTTGGAAGGGGAGCACATGGAGCCAGGGCACCCCCTTGGCCCTGTGTAGTGGGTTCAGCCTGTCCACTAGCTGCAAGGCTGAGGACTCAGCCTGGAGCTGGGCAGGGGCCAGGGGCAAAGCAGAAGAGGACTCAGCCACATCCTGGGCTCCTGGGCAGCAAACCCAGAAGCTGCTCGGGCTTCCTAAACCTTCCAACCTCCCTCCTGCCCCAGGTTTTATGTGTGCTTGCATGTGTGTGCATGTGGACACATGTGTGTGCACACGAGTGTGGTGTGTACATGTGTATGTGCACGTGGTGGTGTGTATGTGTGTGTGGTGTATGTGAGAGTATGTGGTATGTGTATGTCTGTGTGTGTGTTTGCACATGTGTGTGTGAGTGTGTGTTGTGTGTGTGCACCTGTTATGTGTATGTGAATACGTGGTGTGCGTGTGTGTGCATACTTGTGGAGGCCAGAGGTGTGGCTCCTCAGGAGCTGTGCACCTTACTTTTGGAGACCTGGATCTTACCGTTCAGGGTCAGTCTCCTGTCTCCACCTTCCCAGTGCTGGGATTACAGGTATGCATCTTTGTCCAGTTTTCTCTTGGGTTCTTGGGGTTGAACTCAAGGGTCCTTCTGCTTTCGGGGCCAATGATCTCCTGACTGAGTTATCTCCTCAGCTCCAGCCTCAGATCTTCACACAGGCTGTTCCTTTGGCTTCTCTAGCTTTTGACCCTGAATGCTCTGTAGACATCCTTCACATGTCCCTGGAGCTGGGCAGGGGCCAGGGGCAAAGCAGAAGGAGACTCAGCCACATCCTGGGCTCCTGGGCAATGAACACAGCAGCTCTTCCTAGTCACAAATCTCCCGGCCATGTCCAACTGAAGATGTTCTTTCAGAGGTGGGCTTGGTTCTGAGGCACCCCTGTACCCCCTGCCCCATATCTGATCCCTAGTACAGAAGATGGAAAGAAAGAAGGGGATGGGAGGAGGGATGAGGCCAGGAAGAGCCCTGGGGATGCAGGAGGGTCTGGGGCTCAGAGGTGCAGCAGCATTTGAGGGAAGCAGAGTGGGCCATCCCAGCTGGAAGGACCAGCTACCTGAAGGCTGAGAGACAGTGGGAAGTACAGGCCGAGGGGTGTGCATGGGCAGGGTGGCCGGGTCACCTTGGAACCTGCCCTTCTGGGGAGAGCACCAGAAGAGGGGGTCAGGGCAGTTGTGTTGTGTGGAGCTGACCACTCACTGCCCGTCTTGGGCTTCAGTCTCCTCTTTTGCAGAATTCTCAAACAACATGGCCGATGCCCAGGCCCACAGCTGCATGAGTTACAGGAACCTCAGACTTCAGAGCACCCTTTTTCTCTGGGGCAACTGAGGGATAGCCCGTCTCTTATGAGGCCTGTGTGGGTGTTTGATACCAGGCATGTTACTGTCCAGGATGGCTTTGGGGGACAGAGCAGAAGTCACTTTACCCACCGAGTGACCTCCCTACCCCCCTGAAGTCAGCTTCTGTGGCCAAAACTGCGGGTGAAACAGCCTTTTCCCGAGGCTCAGTTTTGTCACCTGTAAAATGGGTAGGGTACTGTGCAGAGGGTTGCAAGGAGGGAGAAGAGAGCAGACGCGGGGACACTGCTCAGTCGGTGCTGAGTTCCCAGACACTGGGAGCGAAGCTTG